CGTACCTGGTCTCCTCAGCGGCTTCAGCTGGATCTGGATTTATGTTCGGTCTGACAACCAGACTCGGTGCCGCCTACACATGTTGACCATCAATTGCTTCCAGGACCAACAGTGTAAAACGGGATGAGCTATACTGTCCCGTATATAAGGAAAGCCGTGGTGTCATTTCTGACACCTAAACATGAATTATGTAGGGAGAATTCCGACACGGAACTTACCCAGATGGTCCAGGGCGGTGCCGCTTCAGTAGGTAATAGCTTGTCTGTGGAACACGGGAATAAGATGGCACCAAATGCAGACGTCAGTCGCGACCCTTTCTTTGTGATGAATTTAGAGGTCTCAGTCACCAATGCAAATGCGTTTTTTCTCCACCATATTTACATGCAACAAACAGCATGTGCTTTCCGCTGCCACCAGTGTAGCGTTCCAAGTCTTTCCATAGGGCGGAAGAAAGCAGTAAGTGAGGCTGGACACATGTACACTGAAGAGAAAGAGCAAATAGGCCTGAGCACGGCCTGAAGGTCAGCTCACGAATAAAAGTTAGACAGATCCTAAAGTAACCGACAAAATCCAGTCAGTCACATAAAAACATTATGCTTCCTACCTTCTTTAAGCCTGTAAAAGGTCTTAAGGCACTGCAATTAGTTATAGCTGAAACATTATAATTGATACTTTTTAAACATAAAAAAAGATTAGAACATAAAAACTTTAAGCCTGGTCAAGTAAATAAACCGGAATATTTATGGACTCGCAACTTGAAGAACTGCCTCACGTTTGATGCTATTCGAAAATGTCGTTTAACAAATTCTAAAAAATTCGGAAAGTAATCTACATTAACCCTCAACTATTTGTTTGTGCCTATTGGTTTAAAGGCGGGGCTTTTGATTTCACAACCATGAGGCCGTCTTCGAAGAAGAGCAAAGATCTCCTGTCTATTAAAACAGGAGGAATTCGTTTTCAACGTGGTAAAGGTCAACATATTCTAAAAAATCCACTTCTCATTCAAAGTATCGTCGAAAAAGCAGGTGTAAAGTCCGTTGACACAGTTCTTGAAATCGGTTCTGGCACGGGGAATCTCACTATGAAGTTGTTAGAAAAGGCTAAAAAGGTATGCGCCTTCGAATTGGATCCAAGGATGGTCGCCGAGCTTCAAAAAAGGGTCCAAAACACGTGAGTAACAATTGTTTGTTTGTTCTCACTTCTCTGTTGATGTGATCGAGTGTAAAGCCTTTTTTGACAGTCCTTACCGCCGAAAGCTTGAAATTACAGTAGGAGACGTAATCAAGGCGAAAAACTGGCCTAAGTTCGACTTGTGTGTTGCAAATTTGCCCTATCAAATCTCATCCCCCTTTATCGGTCGTCTAATTACCGTTGAACATCACTATCGCGCTGCCGTCGTGATGCTTCAGAAGGAATTCGCTGATCGCCTCCTAGCTGAAGCTGGTTCAAAAATCTACTGTCGCCTTTCGGCCAATGCTCAATTTCATTTCAAAATCGCTCAATTAATGAAAGTACGACCGTTTTTAATTTCCTATTAAAGTCGTCTAGGTCAGTCGCAATAGTTTCAAGCCACCACCGCGCGTTGATTCCTCTGTCATTCGAATAGAACCTCGTCATCCCAAACCACCGGTTTCTTTTGCCGAATGGGATGCCCTACTGCGACTAGTCTTTCAGCGGAAGAATAAGACCATTGCGTCGAATCTAAAAAGCAATGCAATTACTGCCTCTCTCCGCAAAAATTACCTGGCTCTTCTTCAGAAAAAAAATGATAGCTCCGGAGAATCGTGTTCTCCGGACCCTCCAGAAATTAGTGAAGAGGGTCCAACTGGATTGGAAGCGATGCACGCAAAGATCCGTCGCATTCTTCAGAAGTCCGGATTCGAATCATCCAGAGCTAGATCCATGGATGAAGATGATTTACTTCGGCTACTGCTTGCCTTTCGTAAGGAGGGAATTCCTTTCGCTTAACCTGAGAGGGTGTCGCTCCCCTCCTTCAATGTGTAAATACTGTGATCAAAAGAAAGCTCTCATCTTACAAATTTTTTTGACAAGAAAGAGGATGGGGAAAGACATGTACACATAAAGTTCAAGCAGGGAATGAGATGGGAGGCAACAGTGAATTACTCTGCTATCCTCGATTTCTTCAGTCGTCCTCTCGACTAAAATAATAGGAAAAAGGGTAGTTAGAAAGTAGCCTTTTAGTTGGCCCTATAGTACTACTTTATCAACAAATTACTCTTTCGGCCCAGGCGGCCATCCTTTTTCGGCTCAAAATGGAGTCCACAGAGGGCGTAGCAAAGGTCTGAGTGGTTTCACCACCGTCAGCAGTGGTAGCCGGGTCAACTCTCTTGTTGGATGGTGGTCTGCCTCGAAGCGGTTGATTGCGCCTCCTTTGTGCCAGTCTAAAAAAAAAAATAGAAATAAAGTCTTCCTAGCACCCTGTTAAGGGCTTAAGGGGTTTCTACATATCAACTGATTTGCGAGTAATAAGTGGGCCGATTAGTACCACTTAGCTCCTAAAAAGGTGTTACATGCCTAGATCGACTTAACATGGCTAGATTGATGGTCAAGCTCGCCAGTGCAGCATGTAATGGAGGATGTCCCTAAATGTCACAATGTTTTGTGGGAACAGATCGGACGCTGCATACGTTTGATTACACCTTCAGATGGATGCGAATTGTCATTAACCAGCTTTTGAAGTGGTGCTCGATGTGTTGACGGCCAATTACTAATGGGCTAAGAGTCAATAGAGCATTCTTAACTTATTTGCCGGGTAAAATGTCTTAAGAGTTGGTTTTACTGAGATTGCTTTGGACGAGAAGCAATCTACAGTACAGTTCATACACCTATAAGCAAAGTTTGGACAATGAGATTCAAAGCTCGCCTCTTAGCCAGTTCCTCATCGTCCAACAGAAGAGAGACCATTTCTGAC